GGAGGAGGAAGAGAAGGTGAGTCCCTGGGGCAGGGTGACCTGCCCAGGCTTCAGCAGGGACCTGCCTTGTGCTATGTCCGTCTTTAGGGACTCGGATGTGAGGAGGCTGGCACTGACCCTGCCATCCCAGGGGATGCAGTAAGGTGGCCAAGGGCTCTCCAGGGCATCAGGTTCCCAACCAGGGAGCTCTTGCCCGGGGCAGAGCTGAGCAGCACGCAGGCGCCCAGCTTGTCCAATAGGGCAGATGGGCAAGCATAAGCCCAAGGGCTGCAGGGCATCCTGTAGACCTCAGCAGCAAGCTGCAAGCCGTGCCTGGAGCCACCTCTACGGGGGGTGGGGGGGGTGCCCCGTGCCCAGCCGGGACCATGCAGCCCCCCCCCATGTCCATGTAGCGACTCAAAGGGGATGGCACACGGGAGCCACCAGCCGTGGAGCGGATGAACACACCTGAACTGGAGGATGAGAAACGCCGTGGCCCTAGGAACCGGGGCCTCGACGCCGTCAAGGTGAGGGGGGTTGGTGTGTGGGTGGACCGAGGGACAGCTAGGCGTGGAGGAGGCAAACGCGGTGCTGCATGTCCCCCCCAGGGCCAGGAGCGGGTGCGGAAGAGCTCAGTGGACCTGCGGCGGGAGATCATTGATGTGGGGAGCATCCAGCGCCTCATTGAGCTCCGCAAGCAGCGCAGGCAGCGCCGGGAGGAGCGGGCTGCCAGCCCCGAGCCCCCACCACCACCTGAGCCCCTGGAGATTGTACGTCGAGGGGTCCCTAGGTGCAGGAGGGGGGCTGCTGGGACAAAGGCTGGAGCCCCCACGGGCCAGCCCCTGGGTCACTCTGCCAGCTGGGAACCTCCCTGGGGAAGCAGGGCATGGGGCCCCCCGTGTTGTCCCCTCTCCCGCACCCCTGTGATGCCCCAGCCCTGAGCCCGTCCTGCCACCAGGAGGGTCCTGTGGAGCCGGAGACCTTCCTGCGAGCTGCCGTCCAGGGCAAGATGCGCGTTATCGAGAAATTTCTGGCAGATGGTGGATCCCCCGACACATGCGACGAGGTAGCATCCCCCACGGCAGCTGGCTGCCCCCCACCTGCACTCGTCCACCATGCCCCCTATGCC